TTTCTAGTTTTCATTTTTTGAGGAATCCCCATACTGATTTCCATAGTGGCTGTACCAGTTTACACTTCCATCAACAATGAAGAAGAAGGGCCGGGGATTTAGCTCAGTGGTTTCGCCGCCTGTTGCACAAGCGCAAGGACCCAGGTTCGATCCCCGGTACTAAAAAAAAAAAAAATACAACAATGAAGAAGAGTTCTTTTTTTGTTATTGATTTTGTTCTTTTTTTTTTTTTTTTGGTACCGGGGATTGAACTCAGGTCCTTGCACTTGAGAGGCAGGCAGTGGAGCCACTGAGCTAAATCCCTGGCCTGTTACTTGATTTCTTGAAGATGGCCCTTCTTTTTTGAGTGAGATAGACTCTCACAGGTGTTTTAATTTGCATTTCTTGAATGGCCAGTGATGTTGAACATTTTTTCATATTTGTATTGCTCAACTGTACTTTTTCATCTAGGAAGTGTCTATTCATTTCAGATGCCTATTTTTTACTGTTCTTTAAATTTGGAAGGTCTTTTTTGAGTTCTTTATCTATTATAGATGTTAGTCCTTTGTCTGAAGAGTAGCTTACAAAAATTTTTTCCCATTCTGTAGGTTGCCTCTTCACTCAGTAGGTAGTTTCCTTTGCTGTGCAGAAGCTTTTTAATTTGATGTGATCCGATTTTTTGATTCTTGGTATTACCTCTTGTGCAACTGGGGTTCTGTTCAGAAAGTCTTTGCCTGAATCTATGTCTTCAAGAGTTTTATCTTTTATCTTCTAGCAGATTGTTTCTATTTTTTTGCTTTTGTTTTCTGAGACAGAGTCTCACTATGTAATTCAGACTGAAATCACTTTTTAGCCCAGGCTGGCCTTGAACTCACAGCAATCCTCTTGCCTCAGCCTCCCAAGTGCTGGGATTACAGGCATACACCACACCTGGCTTGTTTCTGTTTTAATATTTCAATCTGTGATCCATTTTTTAGTTTAGTGCATGGTGAAAGATATGGATCTAGAGTAAATCCTTAGCATCTGGATAGCCAGTCTGCTCAGTACTGTTTGTTAAAGGGTCTACTTTCCTCCAGTGATAGTCTTTGGCCCATTTGTCAAAGATAAGGTAGCTGAGTGTGCCTGGAGTTGTTTCTGCATCCTCTATTCTGTTCATTGATCTGCAAGTCTGGTTTTTTGTCAATACCATGCTGTTTTTATCACTGTAGCTTTTTAGTATAATTTGAAGTCCAAGACTATGATGCCCCCGCCTTGCCCTTGTTGCCCATATTTATTTTTGCTATTCTAAGTCTCTTCTGGTTCCATATGAATTTTAGGATGGCTTTCTCTAGTTCTGTAAGGAATACTACTGGTATTTTGACTGGGACTATATTAAACCTGTATAAGACTTTTGGAAGTACTGCACGGCCACTCTGTTTTGTTTTGTTTTTTGGTACTGGGGATCGAACTCGGGACCTTGCGATTGCAAGGCAGGCAGCAGAACTGAGCTAAATCCCCAGTGCCATTTTGACTATATTGATTCTCCCTATCCAGGAACAGGTAATATCTTTCCATTATCTGATGCCCTCTTCAATCTCCTTTTTCAGAGTACTACAGTTTCAATTTTAGAGGTCTTTCACTTCCTTGGTTAGGTTAATTCCTAAGTACTTCATTTTTCTTGATGCTACTGTGAAAGGTATTTTTCCCTACATTCTATTTTGGTGAGTTTATTATTGGTGTACAGGAATGATAATTAATTTTTGAGTGTTGACCTTTTATCCTGCTATACTACTAAATTTGGTTATTAATTCTATGTCTTTTGGTGGAAGTTTTTCACATCTTCTATATAGAGGATCATGCCATCTGCAAATATTGATGATTCTTCCTTTCCTATCCATATCCCTTTTATTTCTCTCCCTTGTCTAATTATCCTAGCTAATGTTTCAAGAACTATATTGAACAGGAGTGGTGATAATGGACATCCTTGTCTTGTTTCTGATTCTAGAGGGAAAGCTTTCAGCTTCTCTCCATTTAGTATGATGCTGGTCATTGATCTGTCATAGATGGCTTTTATCAGATTGAGATAAAGACCTTCTATACCTATGTTCTTCAGGGGTTTTTATCATGAATGGATGTTGGATTTGTCAAATGCTTTTTCTGTGTCTACTGAGATGATCATGTGATTTTTGGCCTTTCGTCTGTTTATGTGCTGTATTACATTTATTTATTTGCATATACTGAACCATCCCTGCATCCCTGGAATTAATCCTACTTGGTCATGATGTATGATCTTTTTGATTTGCTGCATTCTGTTCACTAGCATGTTACTGAGGATTTTTTTTTTCTATGTTCATTAAGGAGATTGGCCTGTAGTTTTCTTTTTCGGTTGGGTCTTTTTCTGGTTTTAGAATCAGGGTAATGCTTGCTTCCAGGAATGACTTTGGAAGTACTTCTTCCTTTCTGGATTTCATTATAGTCTGAGGAGGATTAACATTAGCTCTTCTCTAAATTTCCTGTAGAATCTGGCATGAATCCATTGAGAGCTGGGCTTTTCTTAGTTGGTGGGGGTTTTTTATTACTTCTTTAATTTCATTAACTGATACTGGATAATTCAGGATTTTTATATCTTCTTGGTTCAACTTTGGTAGTTCATATGTATCTAGGAATATATCCATTTCTTCTAAACTTTCCATTTTATTAGAGTACAGGTTCTCAAAGTACCAATGATTTTCTGGATTTTGGCAGAACCCACTGTGATTTCACTTTGTTCATTTCAAATTGCATGGATATGGGTCTTTTCTTTCCTTCTTTTGGAAGACTGATAAGGGTTTATTTTGTTTATTCTTTCAAAGAATCAACTCTTCTACTCATTGATTCTTTGCATTGCTTTTTATTCTCAATTTCATTAATTTCTGCTCTGATTATCACTTCTCGGCCTTTTGGCTAAGATCACGTGTAATTTCTGCTCTGATCTTTGTAATTTCCTTCCTCATACTGGCTTTGGATTTGGTTTGTTTTTCTAGGATCTTAAGATGCATCATTACGCTATGTATTTGAGCTGGCTCTGTTTTTTTGATGTGGGAATTCAGCACTATAAACTTCCCTCCTAGGACTACTTTCATTGTGTTCCATCAGTTCCCATATGCCCTACTAGCCTTATCATTTGAATGTAGGAACTTTCTACTTTCTTCCTTAATTTCCGCTGTAATCTACTGACTATTTAAGAGGATACTACAGTTTATCCCCTTGGAGTAGTGGTCCAGAGTTTATGACCTCAGTCAGTCATTTGCAGATTTTTCCTTATAACCTAACTAATAATTGTTCAGGGAAACCTCCGCAATTTCATGGAAACTGAAAATATCCTCTAGTTTTTTGGCGCGAAGTTCCCAAGTAGTCAATCTGAGAGGTTACTCAGTTCTTGTTGCTGACTGGCTGCTGTCCTCTAACCCATCTCTAGCAGATGCATCAGCACTCCCACAGCATAATAAGTTGCTGTACTACATGTAGCTGTCTTGAATGTTCTCAAGTGTTGTTTTTCTTAAAGCCCAAAGATGCCCAAGATGCCGCCAAAATGCTCTGCATATTCTCAGCCTTCTGGCAATGAACCTAAGTGCCAGAAGAAGTTTAAGACACTCCATGAGATGGTTGAACCACTCTACAGTATTTTTATTAAATTACAGTACTGTATATAGTATTTTATTCAATTAAATTACATAACTGCAGGAGATATAGCATATTTAGGGTTTAAACTATAAAAATCATTTTTCTGACCATATCTGAAATTCATGGTTTTTCACAATTCGCAGGTGCTCTAGGAACGTAACCCCCACAAATCATGGGGGTCCACTGTACATCCTTTAAAAAAAGAGAAACCTGTGGATTTAGCTCAGTGGTTCCACGCCTGCCTGACAAGCGCAAGGTCCTGAGTTCAATGCCTATATCAAACAAAGAGAGAGAGAAGTTATCCCAAATTTGTCACTTCAACCATCCCCAGTGGCAGCAAATCCTTAGGTAAGAAGTAGAAAATAATGGTTCCTCTCTAAGCTGAATATTCCAAATTCTCTCAACTCTTTATCACATGGTCTAGTCATGTTTTAAGATGTTCTCTGGTTAACTATTTTTCCGAAAAAAATAATACAAAAAATTTAGTTCCTAAAAATAAATTCAAACTCAGGATAAAAGAGAAACAGCAGCTTTCTAGACTATACATAGTGGATTATATTCATTAGCTTCTCAGTTACTGAATATAGTTAATTCGTGTTAAGCTTACAGATAACCTCAAAATTTTTTCCCATAAATTAACTTTATTCATATGCATTTGAACTTAAATCCAGAACCTCACTTAGAAATGATGAATTTTGTCTTGATTTATCAATATATTCAAGTCCTGAGACCACGCTTGTGTGCCAGACATTTACTAAAGATTGGACATAGCCGGGGATTTAGCTCAGTGGTTTCGCCACCTGCTGTGCAAGCCCAAGGACCCAAGTGCGATCCCCGGTACCAAAAAAAAAAAAAAAAAAGATTGGACATAAAAATAAATAAATACATAAAAAGAAGAAAATAGACAGTCTATCCTATAAATCACACACACACCTTGGTGGTTTTATCATATTGCAATATCTCTCTGAATCCTAATTCTTTCAATATATTATCTTTTCATCTCATATTTATATAAACTATAAATCTAATAATATATCTAATAATATATAATTCATGCCTTCATCAAGGAAACAGTGTACTGTTATGTAAGATTAGATATAAAAATATAGAGTCCCACATATTGGTACAGACTCCCTGCAAGTTTCTATCACCTCTATGATAATCTAATTAATCTACAAGATTTATAGTGTCCATAAGATTATCATGGGATACTCTGTCAAATTATATAGGGAAAAGTCAAGATACACTGTGTCATCCTAGAATTACCCTTTCAAGAAAAGGTAATAACAATTTCTTATGTGAATCCATAATGACTCCTAATCATTATCACCTCTGTCTCTATCAGTTAGGATTCAGTGAGAAGACAGAAACCACACCAGTTATTTGAAAAAAGAGAATTTAATAGGAAGTTTTGTTAACTGAGTTTGTAGTTTTTAAGTACATAGGTAAAGGGGCAAAAAAAGAACTCCAAGGAATCTCCGACATAGTAACTGCAGGAAGCACCTACCAATCCCTAGAGCAGGGCTAACAAAAGCTTAGGGGAGGGGCTCAGAGAACTCAAATAGGGGCTTCTGGTCAGGTATTGCTTAGTTGGTGCTGGTGTCTCTGCTTTCCAAGGAGAGGCCTAATGGGCCTGGAATCCAGACCTCTAAAGGAGGGTGGTGGCTAGCTGGCACTAATGGTCTCTGAAGAAAGCTTGATGAAACTCGTCCTGGAAAAACTGCAAACTGGATCCAGCAACTGCTACAGGAGGGTACTGCTGCTGCAGAGATGAAGAAGTGTTATTAGAGCAGCACTCACAGGAATTGCAAGCAAAGAAGAAAAAGTCCCCACCCTCCTTTTCTACATCTTCAATCTTTCCTACTTGCAACAGAGAGCAGTTGGCAAAGTAGAAAAGTAGCTTGCAGAGTCTCAGTCCCACGATCACAGAGCAGAATAAACAAGATGGATTTGGCGCTAAGAGACAATAACTTAATTAGCAAAATACTTTCTGTCCTAAGTCACACAAACTATATCTGTTTAACAATCCACAATTGTGTCTAACACTTAACCATCTTTGCTACAACAAAAAGTCATATTTTAAAATTTGGGCCAGGGATTTAGCTCAGTGCTTTCGCCGCCTGCTGCACAAGTGCAAGGACCCGAGTTTGATCCCTGGTACAAAAAAAAAAAAAGAATAAAATTTATCTAGCATTAGTTCCTACTTAAAATAGTATAATGCATTAATTCATTTTAATTTTAACAACCTTATGAAGTAGATAACAGTAATATGCCACATTATAGATGGACATTAAGTGCAGAGAAGTTAAATACCTTGCCTAATGTCACAACAGTTGTAGAAAGTATTGAATTAAACATAGTCACACACAAAAGCCCATGCTTTTCCACTACATATGCTACAACGTAGTTTAAAGAAGCCTTTGAACACAATTTCCTTACATGGTTTTTAAAAGTTTACATCTGAATTCATATCCTATGGCTGTTATTACTGTGTTTAGATAGCCACTCAAAACCTAATGTGGTCGTAGGTGGGGCTTTTTTCAGAGATGGCTGAATCTAGAATGTGTGATGCTGGGATTGATTTATGCTGCAATGCTAGGATTAAGGGAGCTAGGATTAAGGGTGTGAGTGCCTGGATAAGATATAAGGGACAGAAAGTGGCTTGAACTTGCTGCTTACTGCCTTCTGCCTGCCCTGCTTTGCCATGGACTGTTTCTCCTCTGTGATGCCCTTCTGCCATGCCACCCTGCCTTGGAGCCAGCCAAATATGGACTGAAACCTCTACAACTGTGAGCCAAATAAACCTTTCCTCCTTTAACTTTGGGTGTCAGGTATTTTGTCTCAGCAATGAGAAAAAGTAACTAAGACACTGGAAAATGAAATTCTCACACATGGACAGAATTTTGAACTCTCTGCTGAGAACATCCAACCTGGTAACATGTTTCTGGTGCCCTAAGCAATAAAGAACATGGGCAGAATAAAGGCAATTAAATCTTTCACTCATCAGCATGCTGATACACACCTGTAAGCCCAACACTCTGGGAGACTGAAGCAAGAGGATCAAAAATTCAAGCCCTGCTTGAGCAATTTAGCAGGATCTTGTCTCAAAAAACAAATTTTTTTTGAAAGGGGCTGGGAATGTCCAAAGGCCCTAGGTTCAATTCCACAAAAACAAAACAAAACAAAAAGACCATTCACGCTGCAAAATACAACTCCTGCTTCACTACTGTCCCATCCAGAAATCAGAAGTAAATCTATTCATGGTAGATATGTACAATTTATTTTATAAACGATTATTTCTATTGATCAAAGCTCAAAAATATGTAGGTTGAGAATATAAAATTTAAAATAGCCAGGCACAGTGGTAAACACATATAATCCCAGCTACCAGGGAGGTTGAAGTAGGAGGATCACATGAGCCCAGAAGTTCAGGCCAACCTGGACAACACAGCAAGACACTGGCTCTTAAGGGGGAAAAAAAAAATTAAAAATAGTCCATGAAGGCTGGGGATGCAGCTCAATGGCAGACCACTTGCCTAGCATGCGTAAGACCCTAGGTTCAATCCCCATCACTGCAATAATAATAATAATCAGTATCAAACATTCATCCTTTTGCTTGTTCATCTTAAGGACTGAAATTCTAGAATACTATGCCAACAAAACCTTAAACCTCAGAACAAAAACTAGATTTTGTTTGTTTTTTGGTACCGGGGATCGAACTCGGGTCCTTGCGTTTGCGCAGGTGGCGGCAAAAACACTGAGCTAAATCCCTGGCAAAACTAGATTTTTAACAAGATCTCCAGGGGAATAGCCTGTGTCATTTTCCAGAAATATCTAGTAGCAAAACACAGCTATAATTAATCACTGTTTAGTGATCATACAAATCAAAAAGTCTAGTACAATGATTAAGAGCAGTCTCTAGAATTAGAATACAGGGAACTTCCTAGCTGTGATTATTTTTCCCCCAGTACTAGAGATTGAACCCAGGGCCTCTGTACTGAGCTGCATCCTCAGACCCTTTTATATATTTTTTAAGACATGGTCTCACTAAGTCACAAAGGCTGAGTTCAAACTTGGGATCCTACTACCTCAGCCTCCCAGAGTGCTGGGATTATAGGCATGTGACACTACTCCTGGGTCTGACAAGGCTTTGAATGAAAAAGCCTTACAATAGTAAGGACACATCACTGAAGATGTAATCTAGCCAAAAATATTTAATCTGAATCCATCAAGTCTTTATACAGCTTTTATTTTATAAGGACCCAGATGAATAAGATAAATTATATCACATGGAAAACTACCAGAAAAATGCAGAAAGTAGGACATTCTGCAGGACAACTGGTCTGGTCTCTGCAATAAATGTCATGTAATATGTCATAAAAAAAAGAGACCATACCAGATTAAAAGAGGCTTGGATATTAAGGCACAGTCATGGATTATATATTGATTAGACACACAACAGTTTTAAAGAGCATTTTTGGGTTGATTGAAAAATTCTGGATATTATCTGGAAATGTAATAAGAAATTTACTTAAATGGGAAGTGAGGCAGATCACTGACAAAGGTGGGGGAGACACAAGTTTCAAAACAGTATGTTTACTATATAAACTAGCAACTCCACTCTTTTAAGTATTTACTCCCTCTCCTGAAAAATAAAAAAAACATGAAATACACAAAGATTTGTATGTGAATGTTCATAGCACTTCTAATAATTGCTAAAAATTGAAAACCACCCAAATGTTCAACAATTTGTGGGTAGATTACAAACTGTATTTACATACATACAATGGAGTAGTATTGAAAAATAAAATGGAATGATCTATTGCTATTAACTGTGGTGGTGACTATATACAACTGTATATACTTGTCAGAACTTATAGAACTATAACTTTTGTTTTATATAAGTTATAACTAAAAGCTGATTTTAATTATAACTAAATTTAAGATACTTTGTACAGTTTTATTTTAGTTAAAATGCTAATATATATTTGGGTTATATGTGTAAATATTGTTAGAAAGATGCACTGAAAAGTTCCAGAGGGCTATACATGAAGATACTGGTAGTAATCATTGGGCACTGGTATTGTTACGGGTTTATGGGAGCTTTTTGTTTCTATTTTCTAATTTTATACAGTGTGCATGTATAATTTTCATAATAATAAGATTTTTTAAATAAGGATCAGCTTTGATTTTAAAAAAATTTTTCTCATATAAATGTCCATGGGTTATCTATTTGTGGAACTGTGTTTTATATTTACATAGTAAATAATTACTTTCTTTGGCTTACATTAAATACACTTTCAATGTACAGGATATATCCCAAGCATCATATTTGTATCACATTGTGTTTCTTCTCTTATAAAACAACAATCCACCTCAGGTAATGAAGAGATCCCAAAATTAAAATACTTCTAAGTTTAAGTTCAAACATCAGGCTTTCTCTCTAACCAAACTTATAAAAATTAGTAGTAATTTTTAAAAAATAAGTGAAATAAATCAGACACACAAGCTTAAATATTACATGATTTCTTTTATATGAGATGCCCCAATTATGAATAAAGAGCAAAATAAAAGATAAATAACAGGAAGTAGGGAGATAGGTCTTTCTCAAATGGGAAGAGATCAAGTGATGGAAGGAGAGGGGAGGGAGGGGAGGGAAAGGGGATGAAAAAGGGAGTTAAGATGTGTATATGTACTAACTCAACACAGGGAATGTAAATACTGTATAGTGAAAACATACTAATAAAAAACAATATGGGAAAAAAACAAGAATTGTAAGCATCAAATTAATGAAAAAACAATGCTTCACATTTTAGGAGAAAAGTAGTGAAAAAGAAAACACTAAGTAAGAACTATAAGATAAAAATGAGTAGCTTTGAATCATATTTTTAATAATACTTAGAAAAACTGATATAGCAAATAATCCTACACAGCAACTTAGGTTTAGCACATTTTTATAATACTACCATGTCTTCTTTCACTGTTGCTCAAGAACTCACCAGATTTCCTCAGTCTATAGAAAAGTGATAGGGACAGGAAGAGGTTTGTGGTTTTTTCTTTCTGGGTTTTTTTTTTGGTGGGGGGAGTCTGTGGTTTTGAGGGTTTTCTGGGTTCTGTGGGGGTTTTTTCATTATTTTTTAACTTTGACACTGGCAAGGAGGATGTTTTTAGCTGGAGTAAGCAGAAGATAAACAATAAACATCAAATCCCTGCCATATTTAAGGCACTTCTAAAAATCTACCTACATTCTTTTAACTATTCTTTGGGATGGGTATCACTGTCCCATTATATATAAATGAGATTGTCAAAATGCATTACAGTTAAGATGTGTCAAGGCTCATACAACTACGTAGTAAGTAGCAGAGCCAAAACATAGCTAGCCTAGATCTGAGTCCAAGTTCACACTTAGGCTTTCAAAAACATTCTTCCTCATTAATTTTGAGTGGAAGATTTGAAACAAAATTGTAATAAACAAGTAAATGATGAAAAGATATATCCAAAACTCAACTGTATTTCTACCAAAAAAGCAGTATGAAAATTTAAAAGTAGTTCCATATATAATAACATGAAGTAGAATAAAGTATTCAGGAAGAATTGTTAAGTGTACACTGAAAACTATAAAATATCATTTAAAGGTCAAATTAACATGATCACTATAAAATCCCATTTACCCTTTTGTAGAAAAAAGCTGATTGATAAACTGATCCTAAAATCCATATGGAAATATAAGGGACCTAGATACCTAAATGATCTTGAAAAAGGATGAGTTACACTTATTTTTAATTTCAAAATTTTTTAAATTTAATTTTTAATTTCAAAATTTATTACAAAGCGGGCCGGGGATTTAGCTCAGTGGTTCCATCGCCTGCCTTGCGGCAAGGACCTGAGTTCAATCCCAGGTACCAAAAAAAAAAAAAATTTATTACAAAGCTATAGTAATCAAACAGTAGTCCTGCCATAAGGACAGATATATAGATCAAAACAATAAAATTCAGAGCCCAGAAATTACATATTGTCAATTCATTTTCAATAACAGTATAAAGACCATTAAATGGGGAAAAGTCTTTTCAATATATGGTGCTGACGGGAACCAGCACAAAGAATCAACAACTAGGATCTCATCTTATTAAAAAGCTTCTGCACTGCAAGAGAAACCACCAACAGAGCTGACAACCTACAATGTGGGGAAAAATGTTTAGCAGCTGTACCTTAGACAAAGGACTACTATCTAGAATATATAAAGAACTGAAAAAAATCAGACCCCTCAAATTCAAAGACCTAATTCAAAAATGGGCATCTGAAATCAACAGACATTTCTCAGACAAAGAAGTCAAAGCAGCAAATAAATATATGAAAAAATGTTTAACATCACTGGTCATTCAAGAGATGCAGATGAAAACAACACCGAGATTCCACCTCACCCCACAAAGAATGGCTGCTATCAAGAAATCAACCAATAAAAAAAAATTAAGTAAAAAAAAAGAAATCAACCTATAACAAATGCTGGCAAGGGTGTGGGGAGAAAGGAACCCTTCTCCACTGTAGGTGGGAGTGCAGACTGGTGCAACCACTGTGGAAATCAGTGTGAAGATACCTCAAAGAACTAGGGCTAGAGGTCCCATTTGACCCAGCCATTCCCCTGCTGGATATCTTCCCAAAAGAATTAAAAGAATCATACCACAGCGATATATATGTCATGTTTATAGTGGCACAGTTCATAATAGCTAAAGCTTGGAAACAGCCCAAGTGCCCATCAAATTGGAAACTGGATAAAGAAGATGTGTTTTTTTTTTAAAATGGAGTATTATTCAGCCATAAACAACAAGAAACTAGAGACATTTATAGCTAAATGGATGCATATTGAGGCGATACTCTTAAGTGAAATAAATAGGACACACATGTGTAAATACTGAATAGTTTCTCTAGTGTGAGAAACTGAAAGTGTAAATAAGGATTAAAATGATTAAAACGAATAATTGATAATTTGAAATAGGAAGAAAAGGTCCAAAGGTGTAGGGGTGGTGGGAGAGGAAAGAACGGAAAGGAAAAATTATGAGAAAAGAAAAAAATGGAAACAAAATCTATGTAAATAGGGAAGGGTGGAGGGAGTGAAGGGCGCCCAGGTAATGGGGAAAAAATAAGAACCAAGATACATCATGTACAGGTACAAGCACCCAATGATTAATGTAAACGTACTGTATACCTAAAATGTACCAATAAAAGAATTTAAGAAAGAAAAAAATATATATATGGTGCTGAAAAAACTGGAATCCATATGCAAAAGAGTGAATTTGGACCATTAACTCATACCATGTACAAAAATCAACTCAAAATGGATCAACACCCTAATTATAAGGGCCAGAAGCATACTTTTATTTTTTAAATTTTTTTGTTAATGTTTCCAGTACATAATGATTATATTCATCACAGGGAGCTGGTACATGGATATAACACATCTTTTTATTTCCTTTTCCTATTCCCCCCAAAAGCATAAACTTTTAGATGAAAACAGGAATAAATCTTCATAACCTTGGATTTGGCAATGGACTCAGGTATTACACCAAAAGTATGAGCAACAAAAGAAAAGCAGATAAACTGGACTTTACTGAAATTTAAAACTTTTTTTGCATCAAAGGATATTATCAAAAAATTGAAAGGATAAATTATAGAATGGGAAAAATATTTCAAATGTATATCTAATAAGGGTTTAATATTCAGAATATGTAAAAACTCCTACAATTTAGCAATAAAAAGGCAAACAGCCCAATTTAAAAACAGACCCCTAAAATAAAAGATTTGGATAGCCATTTCTCCAAAGAAGACATACAAATAGCCAACAAGCACAGGAAAACATACTCAAAATGCAAATCAATCCAAAATAAGATACTATTTCACACCTACAAAGATGGCTCAAGTTAAGAGACAGTAAGCCAGATGTAGTAGCCACCCTAGAGACTGAGACAGGAGGATCTTAAATTCAAGGCCAGTCTGTACAATTTAGCAAGATCCTGTCTCAAAAATAAATAAAAAGCACTGAGTGTAGCTCTGTGGTAAAGCACTGCAGGGTTCAATTCCAAGTACTAGAGGGGGACGGGGAGAAAAAGATGGACAGTAAAAAAGTATTGCCCAAGAGTAGAGAAATTACAACCTTCCTACATTGCTGGTGGGGCTGTAATATGAGGCTATACCTTAGAACACTATTTGCCAGTTCCTCAAAAGCTAAACAGAATTGGTATGTGACTCAGTATTCTGCTCCTAGTTTACCTGTGAAAAATGAAAACAGGTTCACATAAAAATTTGTATATAGTGCCAGGGATTTAGCTCAGTGGTTCCACCTCCTGCCTTGCAAGTGCAAGGTCCTGAGTTCAATCACCGGTACCAAAAAAAAAAATTTGTATACAAATGTTCATAGGACCATTATTCATAGTAGCCAAAAAATGAAAAAAAAAACCCACTTATCAATGGGTGAACAGATAAACAAGATCTACCATGTCCATTTAAAAGAATATTATTCAGCAATAAAAAGAAATGAAGTACTGATACATGCTATATCACGGATGAACTTTGAATATATTGTGCTAAGTGCAAAAAGACACTCACAAAAGACTATATAAGATTCCAATACATAAAATGTGCGGCTAAATTCACAGAAATTTAGAAAGTTGATCAGTTATATCCAGAGGTTGGGAGAAAGGGATAAAGTGACTGCTTATGAGTGATAGATTTCTTGTGGGGTGACAAAAGTAAGCTTTTTAAGCAGTAAGCGAAGCATGGTGACCAACACCTGCAATCCCAGCACTCGCTCAAGTTCGAGGCCAGCCTGACTACAAAGTTAGTTCAAGGCTAGCCTGAATTACATAGTGAGAGAACCTGTTTCAAAAAAAAAAAAAGCAGATAGTGGTAATGGTTGTACAACTCTGTGAGTATATTATAAGCCACAAAAATTATATACTGAAGGGGTTAATTTTATGGTAGGTAATTTATATCACAATAAAACTTTTTAAAGACTTTTTTTCTTTCACTATGTAATCCAGGCTGCCCTTAAACATGAAATCTTTCTGCCCTAGCCTCCCCACTGCTGGGATTAAGGTATACAACATCATATCCTGTTTAAAGCACTTTTTAAAAGGACAAATCAGCCAGGCATGGTGGTGCATGCCTGTAATCCCGGGAGTCAGAAGCAGGAGGAACACTGTACAAGTTCAAGGCTAGCCTGGGCTACACAATGAATTCAGGACCAATCTTAACTACATATCGAGACCCTGTCTCAAAAAACCAAATAAATAAATAAATAAAACTAAAAGACAGGGCTGGGGATTTAGCTCAGTAGTTTCGCTGCCTGCTGCACATGCGCTAGGACCCGAGTTTGATCCCCGGTACCAAAAAAAAAAAAGACAAATCCAGCTGGGTGTGGTGGCACCAGCCTACAATCCCAGGACTTTGGATAGGTGTGGGAGGAAGATCACAAGACTGAGTCCAGCCAGGGCAATTTAGTGACTTAGTGAGGCTCTGTCTCAAAATAGAAATAAAACAGGGCTGGGGATGTAGCAAAGGTCCTGGGTTCAATCCCCAGTACGGGGGGAAAAAAAAATCACATAAACAACAAAAACAGCACACTAAGAGACTACAGCACTTAATATTTCAATTTTTCTTCAGATGCAATCTCAACTCCAAAATTCTTTCTATATTTGTATACTTTGTTCAGTGGACAATCACCACCACCACACTACTGAAGTGAAACCAATTAAATGCAATTTGATTTTTTTTTTAAAAGCCTCTGAAATGTCAAACAATTCTCTTTTAGCAATGACTATGGACTAAGCATAAATCTCAGTTTCAGAATATCACAGAAAAACAACAAATACTCAGCAGTTTAAGCAAACTGTCAACTTACCTGAATAGAGGAAGTCATTTTTTGCTTTGACAAAAATGCAAATATTTACCTGCCTATCTGAAAGAAACAATCCTATAAGCCTCCTGTTCTCAAACGAAAATAAAGAAATATGCAGTTTAATTGAGAATTTTGTTTCAGAATTTTAACCTAAGATATACAAAGTTGATCTTTTATATTAACCAACACACACCCTGAAACATACTGAAACCCTGGCATTATAAACACTCACAAAAGTTAAATTTGGAGCTGAGAAAAATCACATATACAGTAAAGCTGATGGAGATAATGCTCTCACGAAGCTCCTGAAAATGTTTTAAGAGTTCCTATGCTGCAAACTCTAGTCATTAGTCTTCCTACAAATATTTACTAATCATCTACTACACTCCAGGCACCACGAAAGATACCATGGTGAGTTATAAACACAGCAGATCTCTGCTCTCAGGAAACTTACTCTCTACAAAGCTTGCCAAACTCGCCTAATCACAATTTCAAGAGTTTGTTAAAGATTCAAAAGCTGCTCCCCTCCTTTGAAGAGAGCCAGAGTTCACAGAGCTGGGTAAAGAGTACAGCCCATATTTTTATAAAGTGCTCCAGATTATTCCTATGACCTGAAAAAGCTCAAGAGAGCCCAGTGCTCAGGGCCATCCCAACCCATCTGGCAGGAGCCCCTTTGGCTTAGCATCCTTCACTCTGACACACACCAAGCACCCTACGAAGACGAAGTGGATGGAAAGCTTTCTAGTATCACTCTGTGGTGAGCCACCAACAGCCATGCTGCCTCACGGGGACGGTGAGCTCGCTCCCTACCAAACCCACCTGGGAATGGCAGCACCTGAACCTCCCAAGCTGCGCTGACACCTGTCTCCCAGTGATTCCAATCTACAGCTTCCACAAGCCCGGTGCCCGGGTTCTACTCCAAGGGGGCGGGGTCGAGAAGGCGCGGCGGGCATTAGGCGCGGACAGTATACTGCCCCCCCCCCGCGCGCGCGCACACTCCCGCGGAAACTGAGGCAGGCTGGCGCGCCCGAGATCGGGTCCCACCGCCTCACGGCCCGCGGCGGGGCTCGAACCCTGACGGCGAAGCGGCTTCCGCCTGGCGGGCACTCGTAAGCTGCTGAGGCCCGGCCCGGCTCGCACCGACGGAGTTTCACAAAGAAAGTCTCCCGGCCCGCGCCCCTCACGCACTCACCGGCGCCGGCGCCGGCGGAGACTCGGGCTCCCGCCGCCTGCGGCTCCGCGCCGGGGTCGACCCCGAGGTCGGCTCGGGCGCCAGCGGCACCAACTGCTCCATCCCCACGGGGCCGGACCGCGTCCGCCTCGAGCTAACGGTCCCGCCAGCTAGGCGCGCACACCGCTCCCGCGCGCCATGTTTCCGCCGTGCCGCGCGCCGCCGAGGCAACCCACACCGCACCCCCAATCGCGCACGCGCGCCCCCGCGGCTTCTACACTCGTATCGCGCACGCGCACGTTCGCCACGCCCCCTCCCGCGCGCTCCGCCTGGAGCCCTCTGGAGCAGGTCGCTGTTCCCTGCGTCGCGTTTACCCCCTCCGCGCCTGTCCGGGCAGGGCTAGAGAAGAAGTAGTTCCCCGCTCTGCGCCGCCGCCAGCCGCACTGCGACCCACCCCGGCTCAGCGGCCCCCCACCCCCACCCCCGGCTCAGCCCCTGGGCTCCATCCGCAGTCCCCCTCTGCTTCACCCCCAGCGCTGGGCCTCGGGCGAGGATCAGCCCTAGAAGTGCCGGGGGGAGGACGCCACTGAGTTGGTGAGATCCCGAGATCCTGCCTTGGAGTTGTGCAGACGCGTGCGCTAGTGTAGGTGCTACGATGAACGTCCGCAGCCTGGGCAGAGGCAGACTCAACCAAAAACCTGCATCTCACTCCTTGCGTGACTAGGGTCCTAGATCTTTGGTTTCTCCTACACCTGAGGACTCCGTGAAGTAATCCAGCACCACGCCTGGTACTTATCAGGAGGTCATCAGTTGACAGAACCTCTGAAGTAGTTTTAGTGGTTAAGAACCAAGGGCTCTCTAGAAAAGAATTCAAATCCTTCCTCCCTCTTGAAAACTGGGAAACTGAGCAGATCACTTGACCGAGCCATGAAGCCTTGATTTTTTACGTTTGCAAAGGGCAAAAGTGTGACAGTACTTCACAGGGTTGACCTGAGCTTTCAGGGAGATAAGTGTATGTATCCTCTCAATGCTGAGAGGATACATGCACTTCCCTCAGTACAATGCCTGGCACACACCAAGCTCTGCGAGATTCACTGGTGTAATCCCTGACCTATCCATCCAAGAGTCCTAAAAGTTTAATGAAAGAGGTTCTGCTCCCAAACCCTGTGGTATAATTAGCTGGGAGGGGTTCACTCAACCTTGGGGTTATGGGGTCTCTTTCTACCCACATCTTCACTTTTCCATTCTCAGCCCCAAACCTCTCTGAAAACCCTAAAATTGGCAGAGAAACAATAGCAGAGAACATTTTCCCTACTAGAGAAAACGTAAGTCTTCGAGAGTCTCTTGGAACTTGTAAATGGTTGCATTTATTAGTCTGGCCTTTTTCAGATCAATTGACACAAACCCCAACCTGGAGTAAAACAAAAAAGGGAACACACATGATCACGTAATTGAAAAGTGCTGAATGGTGCCTTGCTTCAGGCATAGCTGCATCCAGGAGTTCAACCCAAACTCAGTCTCTCATCTGTCTTGGGTCTTGTTTCCCATCTTCATATAGTTCTTTCCACATAGTGACCATGTAGCCCCTAGCTACATCTACACAACAAGGCAGAGGCTGTTTCCCAATACAGGTTGGGTGTTCCTTATCTGAAATGCTCACAAGTGTCTCGGATCTTTTTCTCTTTCTTTTTTTTTTTTTTCCTCTCCAGACAGGGTCTCATTGTGCAGTTCAGGCTGGCCTTGAACTTGCCAGCTATCCTCCAGCCTCAGCCTCCAGAGTAGTACTAGGATTACAGGCATGCACCACCATACAAGTCTCAGATTTGGTTTTGGAATATTTGCAAACACATAATGAGAAATGATGGGGGGAAACCCAAACTAAACATGAAAAATTCATTTATGTTTCATATATACCTTATTCCCACAGCTTCAAAATAATTTTATATACAGTAATATTTTTTTTTTTTGGTACCGGGGATCGAACTCGGATCCTGCCACTTGCAAGGCAGGCGGCGGAACCACTGAGCTAAATCCCCGGCCCCTATACAGTAATACTTTTAATAATTTTTTCATGCCAAGTTTCGTGATAAAGGATTTTCCACATGGCGTCAGTGCTCCAAGTTTGGGATTTTGAGGGGCCAGGGATTTAGCTCACCTGCCTCACAAGCAACCACAAAATCCGAGTTTGATCCCTGGTACAAAAAAAAAATGTTTTGGATTTTGGAGAATTTTGAATATTCAAATTAGGGATATTCAAGCTATAGTTCCAGCCAGAGTCCAGAGTTGACTTTCATTGGCCCCATGGGAGCCACGTGCCCATATCTGAGCCAGTCACCACAATCAGATTGGCTAGATATGACTAGTGTGTGTAAAGGAGTTGGGGTCCTTCCCTCCAGAAGAACATGGGAAGGACTGAGAAGAGGGATACCTCCCAGTGAAAAATAGGGATACAATTACCACATGAAGCACTGGGCAGAGGCTGACACAAATAAGAGCTATCTAGTGTGCCATTATGTAGGAATGCAGGGCATCCACTCCCGAGCTACCTGCCTGTTCTACAAAAGGGAGTGGCAGTTACTTTAGCCCCTGGGAAATGACCCTCCACCTCTGCTCCCACCACCCACCCCAGACTTGGCATTTCCCAAATCTGCTTACTCAAAGGCATCCTGAGGACAAGCACTCAAAAAAGAGCTGAAAAGATGCTACTTCTCTGCTGAAGCACTTTTTGCTTCGCTCTGGCTACATATGTGGCTCTTCCACTTTGAGATGAAGACTAACATTGAAGAATCCCTTGTCACATGCCAGGCACTTTGTGGAATCTTCCATTGACTCCTTACCAACAGCATAGAAGGTTGGTACTTATTGCATCCATTTTACAGATAAGGAAACAAAAGCTCAGCAATTTTTTTTTGGTACCAGGAATTGAACTCAGGTCCTTGAGCATGCACAGCAGGCAGGAAAACCACTGAGTTAAATCCCTGGCCCATCAGCAATTTTAAGTAACTTATCCAAAGCCAATATGAGGAAGCACAGAGCTGTTAGCACAATATTGTTCCCATCACTGATGTTGCCACCCCAGGTCCATTTGTTTGTTTCCGAGTCCTGTACCCACCTCCAGCTAGGTGGCCAGTGGGAGGAGTTCCATAGCAGAAGGAACTTCTAGGGAACCCCCTCCTTCAGCTTCTGTAGTCTCAGCTTTACTATTCCCCCATACCATGACTTCGTGAAATAAAGAAAAAAATTCCTCCCAAAACAAATCAGACTGAGTGCAAGCAGAGGAAGTCAATGCTGAGTGGTCCTAATCAGCAGTTGATGGCTCCCCTTTCATAAGGGCATCAGTCTCCTCTGACTTCTGTAACAAGTCATCACAAACCGGGTGGCTTAAAACAACACAAATTTATTTTCTTACAGTTCTACAGGTCAGAAAGCTGTAAAAGTAAAGGGCTGGTTGGTTCCTTCAGGGGTTCTCATGGGAAAATCCATTTCCTTGCCTTTTTCAGCCTCCAGTGGCCAGCTGTACTGTGGTGGGCCCTCCCTCCATTTTCAAAGCACATTATTCTGATTTCTGCCCAGTCAACACATCACTATCTGGGCTGATTCTTACTCCTCCTGGATTCCTCAAAAGATGCTTGCAATGACACTGGGCCCATGGGGTAAGACAGGAATAATGTTCCTGTCTCAAGAACCTTGATGACATCTGCAAAGTCCCTTCTGCCATGTAAAGTAAGATACTCCCAGGTATTAGGGAGTAGGGTGAGGGCCACTATTCAGTATACTGTGGCAGGTACCAGAGGGAGCAAATACAATATACTCTGGACACAGAATTGGTGAACTCTACTTCCACAGGGAAAATACTCTAAAAAAACCACAGCCTCATATTAAGTATTCAGATAAGCTAAAGCCCATTTAACTTGGAAATCTCAGCCTCATTCCTTTAAATACTCAAACCACCTAAATCCCTCAGAAAGCTTTCGTACCCATCCAACTGCCAATCACTAACCCGAGTGCCAAGTGCCAGGGG